CAGCACATCGCGGCTCTCCTCTTCCAGCCCTTCGTCCGACTCCTCTTCGCTGGAGGACGGGTCCAGCATGGTGCTTGGGGGGGCCTCTCCACTGCGGCTACGCCCTCGGGTCCCAACGAGCGCGGGGCCGGCAGCGCGACCGCAGACCGAAAGGGAAAGTGGCCTGGGCTTTCCGGACACGTCGAGTTGGAGACAGGAGCGCTCCTACCACCAGGGCGCTGGGGGCGGGCAGCAGCGGGAGGAGGGCCAGGCGGGGGAGAGGGGAGACGCCGGGAACGGGGAGGCGGAGTTAGCGCCGGGGTGGGGGGAGCTGGCGCGCCTGGGAACCGCTCGGCCAGTCCCGGTTCCGGGCCCCTCGGTCGCCCCACGCCCCGCGGCAGAGGCGGAGCGGCCCGAGCGCCGGGCGCAGGTGAGGAACCTGTGGCGCCTCCAACAAGCAACACGTGGAATGGAATGTTGAGGAGCGGGCGCGGGGCCGCAGACTGCGCGTGCGCGCGCCGCTGCCACCTCCGGGACCAAGAGCCCGGGTGGCCCGGTGCGCAGTTGACCAAGGCTGGAGCCAGTGGAGGTGGTGGCTTTGTGGGCGCTCACCTGGAGCTGCTCGGACTGCAGGAACCCCATAACCCCATAAGCTTTTTCTCCTGCAAGCTTCCCAAGGGCTCGGGACAGGAGAGGGGAGCCAGGGGCCTCCGCTGGAGGGAGCGGAGAGGCCAGGACTTTGTCCGGACCGGATCCTGGTGTCTGGCATTGAACCAGAGCGCAGAAAAGTGGGGCCACAACCCTTCATCTCGAAATAAAGGTGGTATAAGACTTTTAGGAAGTCCCTCACCCAGCTCCGCCGCTGTTTGACGCTCATGCTGAAGTTAAATTATAAGTCATGTGCACGTTCTTAAAAAAATAAAACAAGAGAAATACAAATGAGCCTCTTTTTTAAAAAAAAAAAAAATCTTATTCCTGCAGATGCCTGATCAATATAGATTTCATGCTGACGGAATGGCACTCTGATTCAGCTCAAACAGAGCTCGATTATTTTCTGAGTTGGGGTGCGATTGACTCAGAGAGGTTGTGTAGTGTAGACATTTATTCTGCAAATATTTGCACGCCCGCACGGTACCCCGCGCAGTTAGCTTTTGGCGGAGCTGGTGGTGCACTTGAGCACTGTAGGCTCCGGCCTGCAGTGGGCGTCCGGCAGCTGCACGCGAAGCCTGCCTTATCTGCGCTGATTTCTCCAGTACCGGAACCACTGAGTTTCTTTCTGTTATTGTATTTCTAGTGTCCTGAGTCCCGGCAGGGGGAAATGGGCAAAAGAATTAGTTAAACACACGGGGGAGTGTGCAGCGGCCAGGTCGGCAGGGCGGTGAGGACGCTCAGTGGAAATAACAGCAGGCAAATAAAACCACCGTCAGCTCTGAGCTCATCCACTCGGCGGCCAAACAGCAGGTTTAGCTTTTCCAGGCCACTTGCACAGTTAGGAACAGAAGAGAGAGGCTTGCTTTCCGCATTTACTGACCTTCTCCGTAGAAGGGGTAAAAGACAACAGGTATTCACTCTCAGGGAGCCTCGCCTATTCGTCACTTCTTAATTGGTGCCCACAGTGTGAGCATCCCACTTACATATGGTGTTCATGGAGGGCATGACTGCAAGCTAATGACCAACTGCCAACGGATACAAATCTCAAAAAACTGAAGTTTTTAGAGGCAGTGTTTTATTTTTGGCAAAGTAAATAAATGATAACCATTCAAGTCTTAAAACTGATTACTTACATGGCATTGTACAGTTTGCAAAGTTCTCTGAAAGTCCTTATTAAGAGTCACCAAAGTAACCTTCTGAAGCTAGTAATATTTGTTATTATTATTATTACTGGGGCTAATTACATGCTTTGTACCAGATATTACACTGTCTTTTACATACATTATCTCTTATTATCAGTCCCATTTTACAGATAAGGAACCTGAGACTTAGAGAACCCTCGTTCCCAAGGTGACAATACTAGCAACTAGTGGAACAGGATCTCGACACAGTTTTCTAATTCCAAATATTTGCTTTTTTTATTACTGCAATTTGCCTTGATAATAAATCAATATATTAAGTGTATGACGTTCATTAAATTGACAAATAAAAGAACTTAATTCTGGGACATAAAAGTACAATTTAAAGATGGTAGTTTTATGGACCTTTCTTCTTCACCAAAGTGACGTTTTTCAGTTTCTTTTACTAATTATTTAATATTGCTTGATGAAGTAGCTTATTATTTTCTTCCTATTAAAAACAATTATCAAATCAAAGACTCTCCAAGCTTTGAGGATGCCTCTAGAAAACATCTAATAATTTTTAGAATAATATGTGCATGCAGATGAAAATTGCTTAGGAGGCATAAATTAATGGCCAAAAGGCAGCAAAAAGAATGTTTAAAGATTTATTTACATATATATATTAGTTAAGAAAGTAACATGAAAAATCTATGCTGAGTATATTGGAAAAGATGTAGTCCTTGACCTCAAGAAGCTTAGAGGTTAAGGAATGGGAAATGAGAAAATCAATTATTAAAAAAAAAGAACACTGATACCAGTTTTACAGTCTGATGATCAAACCAATAATACAGAAGATTATGATAATACAGAGAAGAAACACCTTGTACAAGAGAGAGTAAGGGTTGGAGTAATAGAAGGCTTGGAGAATGCTTGATGTTGTTGGAGTGAAGGCACTGTACACAGGTGAAACAGCATTTGCAAAGGCTGGAATTGCTTGCCACATTAGGGAAATTACAAGTAAACTTTCATGTTTGAAGTGAAGGACACATGTGAGGATATTTGGAAGATGATACTAGAGAACCAAACCAAACGTACAACCACTGAGTCGATTCTGACTCATAACAACCCTGTAGTACAGAGTAACACTACCCCAAATCGTTTCCAAGGCTATAAATCTTTAAGGAAATAGATTGCCCCATCTTTCTCCTGCAAAGCAGCTGGTGGGTTCAAACTGCTGAGCTTTTCATTAGTAGCGGAATGTTTTAACCACTAAGCCACCAGAAACTTAGACTAGAGAACAGACAGAGGTAAATTTAGGAATGAACTTGGGTGCTCCAATAACTCACTGCAGTTAAGTGGGATCCGACTCATAGCGACCCCTCCTTGGGTTTCCGAGGTGGTATCTCTATGAAGGGAGCTCTGGTGGCCAAGTGCCTAAGGCATTTGACTGCTAACCAGAAGGCTGGCATTCAAACCCACCAGCCACTCCTCAGTGGAAAGACTGGGCAATCTACTTCAGTAGTGATACCACCTCGGACATCCAAGGACGGGTCTCTATGAGTCGGGATCAACTGGAGGGCAGTGAGAGCAGTAGTAGAGTAATCCCTATGGAAGCAGATTGCCCAACCTTCCTTCCCAGAAGTGAGTGGTGGGTTTGTACCACCAGCCTTCTGGTTAGCAGTCAAATGTTTGGAATTTAAACCATATCCTGAAGAAAATGGAGATGCACAGAAGGATTTAAATTAAGGCAAGATATAATGTGTTTGTAACTCTTAAGAGTCCATCTGCAGCAATGTAAGGGCAATGAAACCAGAGGCAAGACACCATGAGATTTTAAAAGAAATAATGAGGCTTGAATTCAAGATGGGACAAAAAGAAAATGAAAGCTTATGAGACGGACGGTATGTTTGAGGGGCTGAGGCATGAGGGTCAATGGAGATTGCAAGGATAGGGTAAACGGGGAAATGAATAATAAGAGATAAAATATGGGCTTATTCACAGTAATACATCAGACAGTGTTTCACTGCTCTTCAGATTTTCTGTGGACAGTTTTCTAGAAGTGAATGGCCCTGTTCTTCGTCCCAACTACTAAAGCCAAAGATGAAGAAATTTAAGATTTTTACACATTTCTGCAGTCTGCAATTAACCAAACATGCAATCAAGATGTATTGATTATGATTGGTGATTGGAATGCAAAAGTTGGAAATGAAGAATCATCAATAGTTGGAAAATAAGTCCTTGATGATAGAACTGATGCCAGAGATCACATGACAGATTCTGCAAGACCAACAACTTATTCATTGCAAATACCTTTTTTTAACAATGTAAATGCTGACAATACATATGGACCTCACCAGATGGAATACACAGAAATCAGATTGATTACATCTGTGGAAAGAGGAGATGAAGAGCTCACTATCATCAGTCAAAACAAAGTGAGGGGCTGACTGTGGAACAGATCATCAATGGCTCATGTACAAGTTCAAATTGAAGCTAAAGACAGTTAAAACAAGTCCACAAGAGCCAAAATATGGCCTTGATTACATCCCACCTGAATTTAGAGACCATCTGAAGAATAGATTTGATGAACCGAACACCAGTGACCGAATACCAGATGAATTGTGGGATAACATCAAGAACCTCATACATGAAGAAAGCAAACAATCATTAAAAGACAGGAAAGGAAGAAAAGACCAAAATGGATATCAGAAGAGACTCTGAAACTTGCTCTTGAACATAGAATTGCTAAAACAAATGGAAGAAATGCTGAAATAAACCATTAATATCACACACAAGTAAAATTTTGCTGAACATAATTCAACAATGGTTGCAGCAGTATATTGACAAGGAACTTCCAGAAATGCAAGCTGGATTCAGAAGAGGACTTGGAAGGAGGGATGTCATTGCTGATGTCAGGTAGATCTTAGCTGAAGGAAAAGAATATCAGAAAGATGTCTATCTGTGTTTTATTAACTATGCAAAGGATCATAAAAAGTTATGGATTGTAACAAATTATGGACAACATTGCCCAAGAGGTTGTCATTTATACACAACAAGGGGATACTTCATGGTTCAAACTCAGCAAGGATGTGTGTCTGGGTTGTATCCTTTCACCATTTGATCTATATGCTGAGCAAATAATCTGAGAAGCTGAACTATATGAAAAAGAATCCTGCCATCAGGATTGGAGGAAGAACCATTAACAACCTGCAATAAGCAGATGACACAACTTCACGTGCTGAAAATGAAGATGAGTTGAAGCACTTACTGATGAAGATCAAAGACTTCAGACTTCATTATGGATTGTACCTCAATATA